TTCCATTGCCCAATATCCATATCTTGATCGACAATTGCGCCGGGCGAGAAATCAGCTCCTTTGCGAAACATGGAGTATGGGCGGCCGGAGTCTGAGTCTCTCCCCTAGTCTGTGAAGTAGCTGGTGCAGCTGGAATCAACCCCGCCTAAGCCAATGTAGCAAACATGCTCAGGAACTGTGCTAAGGTCTCATGAAGTCTGGGGGTAATAACAGGCACCTCCGGTACCTGCCCTTCAACTGGAGCTACTGGCGGCTCCTCAACAGCTGCTCTAGTAGGTGCTCTACTTGTGGCATGTACTTCTCATCGGCCTCTGTCTCTACCTCCAACGACACCTTCTTTGGGAGCAACGTCATCGATAACTGCATGTGTCCTTACCATCTGTGAGAGAATGGAATGATAATAGTTCAAACGTCGAGATCAATAAGCTCGCACGATAGGAATGAAAGAAGTGAGATTGTCCTAATAGTTCCGTAGCCTCTCGAAGATAAGTACAGAAGTCTTCGTACCGATATGCAAGACTACTAAACTCGCTTATGACTCGTAGCACCTATGAACCTACAACTTTGATACCAACTTGTCACGACCCAACTTTCCCTCCGTTTGGGTATCGTGATGGCACCTAGTCTTAGGGACTAGGTAAGCCTAACTCATACTGACATACCACAATAATAAATGAAATTTAACAGTTTTGAAGCAAAAATCTCTATCAAAATTTATATTTCCCAAAATCCGGTAGTACAAGTCATAAGCTCTACAGAGTTAGCTATCACTTCTAAATATAAATGTTTGGAAAAGAGTGAAAACAATTGAATACAAGTAAGAAGGTGACTCCGAAGCCTACGAATGCAGCAACAGGTTTACCTTGAGTCTCCTCAGTAATGATCTGCACAGCTACTAATGATCGATACCTGGATCTGCACAACAAAAATGTGCAGAAGAGTAGCATGAGCACACCACAACGGTACCCAGTAAGTATCAAGACTAACATCGGTGGAGTAGTGATGAGGAACAGTCAAGACACCTACAGGTCCAATAAACTATAAAAATATAGGAACAACGGAACATGATGTATATATAAAGACTACACGAAATGGCTAACAATACTACAATCATAATAAGGGAAGAAAACAACAAGTAACAACGGAAATACCAAAATAATGACATAGAAGAGCGAGCGAAAACACAAACCCAAATCCTAAATTCACAATACAGTAAAGGTAAGCAATAACTTTGATCCTACTATAGTGTTTACATCAGGTCTTATCCAATAATTTCCACGAAGTATCTAATCTAGGACAAATTACAGCTCACAAGTCCTAGTACCTGAAATCTAACTCTTGGCATCCTGTGCCCCCATCACACCTCATGGTCATGCTGACAACTCACTTGCTAACTAGAGCCACTCTCACCACGTCTCGCCACGTGTGCAAATAATAACATAATAAGTGCCCGCCTTGTTTTGCCACATGTGCATCATAATGTTCCCATATTGTTTCGCCACATGTGCAACCCACATATAAGCATATATATATATATACATACCCGGCCTTGTCACGCCGCATATGCAATATATCAATAGTAGCAATAGCACGGAAGAAACCTCGTACAACCACATAATAACAGCCGCACGACAGAAAACTTGTGCATCACAATATCAACAACCGCACGGCAGAAACCTCGTGCACCACCACAATAAGTACAACAATAACAATGACAATATATACAGGAACACGACAAGTAAATCAACTCAAGAACTTTCGATCAAAAGGAGACGGTAAAGCTAGCTCACAATGAATAACCACAATAGAGAATACTAAGCGTAATAAGAACAGCAAAACAAGGGAGAAAATAATATGAAACAATGATCCCACAATATGTAAGTCAACAACAAGGAAGCTAATACGAATCAAATAATTCCAAACAAGGAAATGTCAACTAAATATAGGATATCTAAACTTCTTTTAATGTTGGGCAATTTACGAAGAATATACAATAATTTTAATTAAGGATGAGCATCGGAAAGATAATCATAACCTCAATTAAGACTAAACAATTACATGGGAGATGGTAATGATTTCCAATAAAGATGAGCACTTATGAAAGATAGCATGACAATAGAAGAGGTAAAAAACTTCAGTTAAGCAAAATAAGAGTCAAATAGGCAATAAGAATGAATCATAAGCAATTAATTCCAATTAGAGCATGTAGAGGTGAAACTAGTAAGTGGAAAACTCAAGCATATCAAGTACACATTCATACACAATGAATATAAGGACCTAAGAACCCTAAAAGGCCAACTTTTCCACAAATAAATTCGAGCATGCACTCGCCACCTCGCGACACGAACTACAATCAACATAGCAGACCCAAATCTAAGGGGAAGTCCCCCACACAAAGTTAGGCAAGATACTTACCTCAAAGATGATAAACCGATACTCTAAAATACACTTCTCGGGTGAAAAGACCTCCGGACGGCTCAAATCTAACCAAATTAACTTCAAAGCACAAATAAAACACATAAGAAACTATTCAGATTATAAAGTCTCAATCTTTAACAAAATCCAAAAATTGGTCCAAAAGTCGACCCCCGGGGCCCACACCTTGGAACCTGACAAATTTTACAAAAACCGAATACCCATTCCGATACGAGTTCAACCATACAAAATTTATCAAATTCGGATACTATTTGGTTCCTCAAATCATGATTTTTTATTTTAGGAATTTTCTTCAAAAATTAACATTTTCCCCAACCCAAAACACACATTAAATGATGAAAATGAAGATAAAATCATGGAATATGTTAGATTCTAGATGAAGAACACTTACCCAATCGATTTGTGTGAAAAATCCTCACAGAATCGCTCAAAACCGAGCTCCACAAGTCAAGATATGAATAAAATGATCTAACCTTCGATTTTGGAATATATTCTGCATGCCCAGGGGTTGCTCTTCGCGTTCGCAATGAGTAAATTCCTCGTCAACGATTTCCAAACTCATTCCATATAACGTTTAGTATAATGGCCATAACTTTTTGCACACAACTTTAAATGATAAATGGTTTGGTGTTAGAAAAACTAGACCCCAAGGGCTATAGTTTCATAGGTTGATCATTTCCTGAGTCATTATATATTGTGAGATATAAGCTTTCAAAGTCAACACTATGCAGCTGAGATTTTCGAACTCTCTCCGGACAACCTGTAATGTAACCACCATAACTTTTTGTACGCAAATCTAAATGCCAATTAATTTAAATTTCTAAAAACTAGACACAAAGGGCTACAACTTTTATTTTTGGATCATCTCCAAATTCCTTATAGATTGTGAGATATGAGCCTCCGAAGTCAGACATGTGCAACCGAGATTTCCTTCTTCACGAACGCGAAGAACAAACTTCCAGAAGCCAAATTCTTCTTTGCGAATGCGAGAGGCTCCTCGCGAACGCGAAGAACAACACCAGGTATCAGATAATCAGCATCCAAAGTAGCCCAAAATGATATGAAACACACCCGAAACACACTCGAGTCCCCCGGGACCCCGTCTAATCACACAAACAAGTCATATAACCTAACACGGACTCGCTCGAGGTCTCAAATCATATCAAACAATGCTGAAACAACGAATCACACAATGAATCGAACTATGAACTTCCAAATCTTCTAACTTCGAAAACTTGTGCCGAAACCTATCAAATAAACCTGGAATGACGCCAAATTTTGCAGACAAGTCCAAAATGACATAATGGAGCTACTCTAACTCTCAGAATCGCATTATGAACCCGATATCACAAGAGTCAACTATGGGTCAAACTTCTCCACTTTCCAAAATTCAATTTTTCCAACTTTCGCCGAAACGCCTCAAATTACCCTATGGACCTCCAAATCCGAATCTAGACGGACGCCTAAGTTCAAAATAACCATACGAAGCTGTTGAGATCACCCAAAACCCATTCTAGGGCCGTTTACTCAAAAGTCCAATTCCGGTCAAATTCTCACCGTTTAAACTTTCAAAACTAGATTCCTTCTTCCAATTTGACTCTGAATCATCTGTTAACTGAATTCAACCATGCATGCAAGTCGATACTCATATTATGAAGCTTTTCCATACCTTACGCCGTTGAAGAGAGCTTAATTTCTCAAAACGAATGGCCGGGTCGTTACAAATTTGAAGGTGAATTAGACTAGTTTGGGGGTCAGAATTCACTATCAATGATATATAATATTAAAAAAAAATTAGTCAAAAAAGATTTATTTCATTGGGCATGGCTGAAATTCGTTGAAAACATATAGATGAGGCAATATACAAGATTTAAGCAAGATTGGAGGTGACTTGGACTAGTTTGGTATCAAAATTCATTGTTAAAATCGAGCTTAAAAAATTCTTTTGCGACACATATATCAAACATGTGTCACACATGTATCTCACATGCATGTATACATGGACATACATAGTATACACATTTGATATACATATGATACATATGTGATATACATATATTTTTTTATATTCATCTTCTACTTCGAATTTTCAATTCAAAACACCTCAAAACTTCACAAGATTATTCTAAAATTGAGATTCAAACTCCTTAAGATGTACCCAATTTATTCCAACAATACCTGTTCAAAAGAAAGCAAAAGTTTGATCCTTCTTAGCTACAAATAGTTAATCGACTAATATTGGTTGTATTTGGCTAATAACGATAATATTTTATGAATTAACTAATTTTTGTAATAACTTATTTATGGCCGGAATAACTGGTAATTTAACTGGCCACCTGGTGCAAAGAACACTAGGGCCGATAAGTTGTTTGGGCAGAGGACCGCCAAGCATAAACCGACCAGCCCAAACATGAAGCCGCCCGGTTCATCTTATAGAAGTACATACACTTCCAACAAAATACCAAGGCGCTAACATAGAGCTACAGTTTCCAAAAATGGCAGACAGCGAGCACCCCCGTCTCATTCTCCATAATTTTCTTCCTTTAGATCTCTGCAAGGTCCATTTCCTCATTTACAAACTTATAACAGTCATTCTTTTGATAATTTTACTTAGTACACGTGAAGAAATTTGTTTCCTTCTTATTTTAATTAATTGCAGGAGTTAGAGTTTATACACAAGAGCTGTTGTACAGTAGGGTACAGGCCCAATGTGTTGTCTACAACACTATCTCATCTTATTGCCACTAACTCTGCCCATTTCATCTTGCCCATCATTCCTATTCGAGGTTTCATTTTTTGATCTTACGTATTTTTTTTTTAAATTCTTGAAAAATCTAATGTTTTAGCTTTTGTCATTTTTATTTAATTTTTGATTTTGCTTTTATAGAGAGGCTAAGGGAGAAAGCAGAGGAGTATTTTGGGTGCCAGTATGAGTTGTTTGTTGAATTCACTGGTCTAATCAGGTTCAAACTCCCACTTCTTTCCCTTCTATATAAACTTATTATATGTGATCATATCCTTTTTAAAATTATCTCTCTCTATTTGAGCTTCGCAAAGCATAGTCAGCCCGGATAAAAGAGGATAGTTAGGTAGGCAGGATCGGAGGTTGAAAATTTACCCTGTGGAAATAGGGCAAAAACTATTTTTTGGTTATTATATAAGCTAATTGAATCCCCTCGCCATGAGGGGAAATATTAGTAAAGTGGTAGAAGCGGTTAAAAAACTGCTTTAGGTCAGTTTCAAATCCCAAGTGTGACATTCTTGAATCCCCTTGGATAAATTCTTGGCTCTGCCGCTAAGCGTAGTGTAATGAACCCAATTTCTCAACTCAAACACAAACTTGTATATTATAAACACTTAACAGAATTACACTGAAATAGGAAATACTAATAGAATAAAGAACAACAATTAATCAGGAATTAGAGGAACAAGGAAAGAATAACCGGAAGGGGATGAGAAGTTTCTGACACTAGAAAGATAGAGATGAGCAGCACAGACTTTGCCTAAGCATAATCACAATTCTCAAAACTGTCGATGAACCCCTTTTAGCAATTTGTCATGTGCTTCCCTACTCAACCTGGATCGCAAGCAAATCTCTTGTTGGGCTGTCTAATTCCTTGGACCTTTCGTAGTTCAGCCCTAAGCCCCACACTTGGCTAGCCTCTGTCCAAATAACTAGCACATAAGCATTATCTTAGTTATCCATCTTCACAACAATACTCCCCTCCTCAATAAGAACCTTGTCCTCAAGTTTCAAGTCAAGAAATCTCGGGATCAAAGGCTTTGGTAAACTAGCTCTAGTTATATTGACTTCAATAGGCGTGAAGTTCACTGGATGGCAGGCACCTACAAATTTCTCTTGAGCAGAATTAAAGCACTATACCAAGCTCTATTCATGCCTGGCACAACAATAGTGACTGCATAGTATACTTTATTTTGGACAAGGTCATAATGAGATAAATCCTGTGTTCCCTTTGAATACTTCATAGGCCACAAAAACACTGGAATGAATAGCAAAGTAGCTATTATTCTACAGATGAATTCCACTAGAATCATCTCTACTTGCACTTGCTTTATTAGAGTACCAGTTAACTCTTGAGGCATGAATTAATGTGTATCTACTCCTGACATGCAGATCACCATAATCTGCTTGTGAGACAAAACCAAGGAGTATGTTGCATTTTTTTACTAACACAAGCTTGGTACTGAACTGGAGGTCCTATTCCCAAAGTTATCCAGTCTCTTAGAGTATGTCCTTGTAGCATAGTCATAGTGGCTGTGATGATCTTTGAAGCTTTAGGCGTAACTTTTGCTTTCCCATGTTGGTCAACATATGGGTCTTCAAGGTCAAAAGGCAAGAGACAATCAACGGGCTTTTCAACTTTGACCCATTCTGGTGTATCTAAGCAATTATAGTATGCTGGAAAAACTTTTCATTGAGGAGCAACCACAAATCAGATCCAAAAATCTAATATTGGAAGCAGTTACAATAAGCGTTACAACATCTCCAAGCATAAGAGTGGAGTTACCAAAGATCTGTGTATTTGAAGCACTAACATAAGCAAAACCCAAACGTCTGATAGCTCCTCTTCTAATTGAGAGATTCCCATCGGCAGGACTAAGGGCAAGCACATGCTTACTAGACTGGACAGACTCAAAAGCTCCAAGAAGCATCTCATGGAAACCACTATAGATGGTAGTTTGTGGTACAGAAGACTCAAGCACAGTATCCCTCTTGTCATCGAGTATCTCTCTCCCGTTGTCCAACCAACTAACTTTGACATACACATACTTATCAATTAGAATAATCATGAAGAAATCTAGAGAGAACCATGACAGACATTTAAAAACTCCCTCATGTTTTCTCAACTGAAGGTTAATCGGCGTAACAAACTTGTTAACCACATGAATAGACAGTCCATGATATTCAACACATTTCAGAAGTCTCAAGAGATCGTCGTCCTAATACTCAGAAAGCTTAAACACATGCTGCCTATTCGATCTGAGAGTGTAGGGTGGTCATCTAACCTCCTCTGAGGTGACTGCACCCTGATTAAAGCAGCAGAACCATGATCAAATGGGCAGTCTAATCCAGGTTCATCAGGTAAAAATTGATGCAAACAAGACTTCCAAGAATTAAGCAAGCCCAAGTTGATGTCGAGGGAAAAGTATTCTAGGATGTCCAATAAGCAATTGATTCCAGCAACCATCTAAAACTTTGTGAATATCAAGCAGGACAAGGTCACAGGGAAAATAGATTGTAGAATTAATCCATAATGAAGGCTTCTCTGGCTTAAGATTCTTATGCATAACAACCATGAAATAGCAATTAGGGACTACAGTTGGATGCTGTCAAAAATTATCAGCAACATCATTCTCTAACGAGTATCCTTGGGCAATGGTTCTATCAAATAGCTTCTCTCTAGCACCAAGTTTCATCACAAAGTGCAGAGAATACATGTCCTCAAAAGATGATGTTCCACTCTGATATTCAATGCTCCCATGATCTACTCTTAAACCAATTGCATTACATGAATAGCTGATAGTAGAAATTTCTACAACCGCAACCACCTGCAGTTCGAGCACCTCCAACTTTGTCCTTGCTGTTGAGTTGAATAATTAGAAGGGAGGTATGTGATGCCAACCACATCACTAGCCAAGACATTCTATGAAATTATGAATCCCTTCTCGCTTCCACCCTTCCAAGGATAACTGGATAGAATTACAATTTCTTGGACCATATTTCTATATAGTATTTCATCATGTAGTTTGACAATAAAGCAAATCTCCCCATAGGTCGTCCATCGAGCGAATCGTAGTCCAACATGAATAGATAATAATCATACTAAATCCAACTCGATAGCCCATATTTTATAGGGTAAAGTAGTAGGGTGATGTGGTACTATGCAACCAGAAACTACAAGTCGAAAATCACATAGTGACGGCTGCTTAATTATTAACGCGAACTCTTCATCCCGGGCTGGTTTTTCATAACCAACAAACAAAATTTTGTCAGGAACATACTTCTCAATATCTGAGACCCCACTAGCCATCATGAACTGCTTATCAAAAAATTTCCATAGGCATGGACTCCTGTGGATGTGAAGCGATATGACATTTTCAAATGGATGTGTGACTTCAGCAGGGCTCGCAATCTCTTTCGGCACTACATCCTCTCCACTAGTAAAAGGTACCAGAAAATTGGTTGTATTATTTCGGCTTCAGTATCGCAAGCAAATGCTGTAGCAGTTGGAGAGACATAGTTCTTGTCAATGGTTTATGTGGGATTTCCATCAAGCACCCTGGCTTCTTGTGAGTCGCCATCTTCTAAGTCGGATTTTGGTTTCATCACCTTGAAAGGTGACCGACATTTCCTTGAAAACCTCGTATGCTAGGTTCAAGTTATTCCTGGCCGAATGCTTATTCCAATATTGAGGCGAGGGTGAGGTCTTAATGTTGCACCACGATGGAATAGCCGTAGCTCGTGCTATAAAATTCTCCACTGGCTTGCATTGCTGGTGAACGACTAAGCACCCACTAGGTGCTTCTCTAGTCCGGGTGCGAAAACACAGCTTCAGTTTCTCCTTAAAATGACTCTATTCAAAAAATTGCTCATTTCGAAACAGCCAATCAAACCAAGCAAAAGCTTCGCCATCAAGGTAATGGTAAGGAAGAGGTAACCAGTCCTTCTTGGAGAAGCCAAGGTAGGTGAAGTACAGTTCATCCCGAAAAATCCTACCCTCTGGGTTTCCACCGCTAAATCGATCCAATACCATCATTGTTGTTGGAGTACGAACAATGAAAGCACCAATGTAATGAACCCAATTTCTCAACACAAACACAAACTTGTATATTATAATCACTGAACGGAATAACATTGAAATACGAAATACTAATAGAATAAAGAACAATTAACTAGGAATTAGAGGAACAAGGAAAGAATAACCAGAAGGGGATGATAAGTTTCAAACACTAGAAAGATAGAGATGAGCAGCACAGACTTTGCCTAAGCATAATCACAATTCCCAAAACTGTCGATGAACCCCTTGTATCCATTTGTCACGTGCTTCCCTACTCGACCTGAATCCCAAGCAAATCTCTTGTTGGGCTATCTAATTCCTTGGCCTTTTCATAGTTTAGCCCTAGGCCCAACAACTTGGCTAGCCTCTATCCAAGTAACTAGCCCATAAGCATTATTGTAGTTATCCACGTTCACAACATGTAGGTTTTGTAAAACTAGTCAACCTCTAAATAGTGAATGGACTTGGATAGAGTGAAATGTATACAGAGGATTTATATACAAGCTATTGCAACTATTTTGATAGAGTGGAATGAATACAGAGGACTGTTGTTGCTGTATATTCTTTTCAAGTTCTAGAATTAATAATAATTGATAGAAACCATTAAAGTCTTTGCGTTCAGTTACGTATAAAGTGAAGTTTCCTGGAACTTAGGACATCTCTTGTAGCGGTAGATGATAGATTTTCCCAAATACAAGTTGGATAAAATCCATCAGAAGCTTGTGGTTTTAGCAAGTTCAATCTCACCGTATAATTATTATTCTTTTTACCGTTTTTAGCCTTCATTGTCACAAACAAATAGTTCAAATGTTTCGGTTCCATTAGAACTGGATGTTGCCAAAACAAATGATATGTGAACATGACGTATTTCACAAGTTGATCTGGCATTAAGTAACTGGATTTTGTTAATGGGAAAGACAGATTTTTAGATTTGGTGAAATACAACAAAGGTCTGGTGAATAAGAGGTATTAATAACTTAAAGACTGCTTGGGGCTTTTTTTGATAACCGTGGTGTTTGGACCAGCTTGCGCGTCCCTCGACTCATTCCATGGGACACCTGCCACCTCCCACCAACAACAGGTACCCAGGTAACTTTATCCACCAAGGTTTGGACATATAGGAAGAAATAACCTAGTAGTTTTTTGTCTCCGCTAGGGTTTGAACATGAGACCTCATGTTTCTCCACCCACTTCGTTGAACATTAGGTTACACCCTTGGGTGACTACTTAGGGCTTACCTTGGCTTGACTTGGAACTATTTATATGTTAAAGCTGCATGTATTTCAAATACTTCTGCAAATAGTTGTTCTGTTGAATTTTATTCTTTATATTTTTGTTGATATGCTTTCAAGTACACTACGTATTCAAAGTCAAGGTAATTCAGTGTAGGACGTTTTTTTTTTTTGCATTTTTATCAGTCACATGAACACTCTATGCACAAATTATGTAGTACAATGATATAGTCATGTGCACTTTGCTGTTTCATGTGATTCTTTTCATGCTGCAAGAAATATTTCACTTCTATGGAGCAATATGTCTAGCAATTTGCTAATGTTCTGTATGAATTACAGCTGGTGTAGAGGAGCAAGCATTGGTTGGCACAGTGACGATAATAGACCTTACCTTAAACAACGAGATTTCGCGGTGCGTTCTTGACTTGTTGTTGTATCTTCCCACGTTATTTGCTACATATTTTTTGTTTTATTTCATGAACAATGTATTGCTTCTTCTTGCAGCATGCATTTATTAATTTTTGCACGTTTCTTAAAATTGAATGTTTTGATAACATAGTATGCTTGCTTCCCATGTTCATCCGGTATGACATAATAATATACTAACATTCTCAAGATGTGTCGCATCTTCCTAGAGATTAAACGACATTGCAGTATACACAAGAGTTATAATTATATAGTTAAATTCTTCACTTAGGTTTATTTCTGTTTTCATGATTAATGGAACACAAGCTGCCTTTTTGGGTCGGGGATTAGGATCATCTCTCCATGTTACTGTCTCATTTCATCATGGGAGTCTTTCAGTAAACTAGTGAAAAGAAAAGAGTAGCTGCATCAGTGGATTTAGGTTGGCTAACAGGTTGGGAAACCTTTTGTAGGTTCGTAAACCATGCATATACGCTCTTTTTCTTGTACTATGTTCCAGACAGTTTCACTTCCTCCTCAGAGTCTTGAGTGTTTTGAAGCAGTATATGGACTGCATATCGACATGAAAAAGTTAGAGTTCATCCTAGTTGGGCTGGTTCATGATGTTTGTAGTTTGGCTCAGAAGCTGAGGTGCAAGGTAGGTTCACTACCTAATAAATATTTCAAGATGCCTTTTGAGGAAATTTTGGAGAGATTGAATTACGGAAGCTGTGATTTTGAAATTTGGAAGAGATTGACGGGTAGAAATAAAAAGTTACTCGGAGGGAATATGGTCAGCCAATCTGCCTTTTCAAGTATATCCATGGACTATCTTCCTTGTTTTGCATCCCATCATCAATTGTCTATAAGTTGGAGAAAATAGTGGGATTTCAATGGGATTGAACAAATGGAGACAAAAAATATCATTTTGTAGAGTGGAAAAAGGTGGTCTCTCTGTGGAGGTTCAGCTCTCAAAAGCTCTCACTTTTGAACTATGCATTGTTGGATAAGTGGTTATAAAGACTTGCTTTCAAGGATGATGCTTGATGTAAATATAGTTGCAAAGTGGATCCTTGATTGCGCATGGTTCTTGAAGAAAGTGATAGACCCACTTAGTGTGAGCTTGTGGAAGGGGATTATGAAAGGAAAGATAGAGTTCCCAACTTTAGTTGGCTTGTCGGGAATAGCCATTATTTGAATATGACAATATGTTTTGATGTCTATTATGAGAATTCAGCAGTTAGAGATGTGTAATGCCTGATGACTAACGTATAGCTTGTAAATGGTGGATTTCTTTTTCGGTTAAGGATCTGATTTGCCCCTCTACTATCATAAATAGGCCTTATTTATCCCTCGTTTAAGTTTTCTATCAAAAATATCCCTACAGTTATACATTTGGTGCATATTTATCCCTTACACGTTAAAAACACTCTCCAAGATTTTAAAATCCACGTGGCATCCCCTTATTGGACCAACTGACCCGCCCTATTTTTTAATTCAAATCCACCCGATCCCTGCAACAAAACTACACCCACCCATCTGTTAAAAAACCTTTTTTTCATCTGACTAGCTCCTTCTCTCTTTATCTCCTTAATCAAGAGGCCTTTTTTATTTATTTATTTGACTATCTTTTTTTTTTCATCTGACTATCTTTTTTTCATGTTTTAATATTATTCTCTATATTTTCTAGTGAATGTGTTGCTTTGTTGCAAAATTCTAAGTAGACAGAGAACCATGATTTTCTTTTCCTGTGCCCCTTTCTCTAGGATAAATTTAAATAGTGTTTAGATGAAGTATGGTAATTGATACTAGCATTTACCAAAAGAAGTTGATGTAATGGTAAACAATTATGAACAAAATGATGCGGACATAAAATTAGATCCCGTAGAGTGAAGAGATGAAATGGGATAAAACAAAAATATTAATTCTAGGAAGAGCAGCACTAAAATAATAAGTGTACAAACTTCAATTAAAATCAACTGCATATTGCTTAAAACAAACAAAGATAACTGCAAAGTTCATAGTGGAAATCCACCATACAAACTTCAACTAAAATCAACTGCATATTGCTTAAAACAAACAAAGATAACTGCAAAGTTCATAGTGGAAATCCACCATACAAACTTCAACTAAAATCAACTGCATATTGCTTAAAACAAACAAAGATAATTGCAAAGTTCATAGTGGAAATCCACCATACAAACTTCAACTAAAATCAACTGCATATTGCTTAAAACAAACAAAGATAATTGCAAAGTTCATAGTGGAAATCCACCATACAAACTTCAACTAAAATCAACTGCATATTGCTTAAAATAAGTAAAGATAACTGCAAAGTTCATAAAGGAAATCCACCGCACAAAAACTAAAATCAACTACATATTGCTTAACTTAGAAAGCTTGAGAATTCAGTTTGATGGACTGTTGGATGCAAAATTATAACCCCCCAAAATTTACAGACCTTGGTCAGTTGAAGGAGATAGAGAGAGAAAGATATAGTCAGATGAAAAAAAGGTTTTTTAATGGACGGGTGGGTGTAGTTTTATTGCTGGGATTGGGCGGGTGGGTTTGAATTAAAAAAATGGGGCGGGTCAGTTAGTCCAATAAGGGGATACCATGTGGATTTTTAAAGCTGGGAGAGTGTTTTTAATGTGTAAGGGATAAATATGTACCTAATATATAACGGTAGGGATATTTTTGTTAGAAAACTTAAACGGAGGATAAATAAGGCCCATTTATGATAGTAGAGGGGTAAATCAGACCCTTAACCGTTTCTTTTTTATTCTCAAATTGTAGATAATGAAAAGATTGATTTTCTAGATAATGTAAGCTATTTTCTTTAAATTTACCCTAATTTTAGTTTTGATTTCGGGAATCAAATTGTCTCGAATTTTTCAGTCCGTCGTGGTCAAAATACCCAAAATTGTTTTACCAGATCCGATACGGATCCCATTAGGGCTGTTCATTCGGATCGGATATCCGAAATCCGAACCGATCCATTCAATTTCGAATTTCAGATTTCGAATTGGATCGGATTTCGGATTGTGTTTATTAAAATTTAGGATTTCGGATCAGATTCAGATTGGTATATTTTAATCCGATCCGAAATTTTTAGGGTATGCATAAATACTACACTTTCGGATAGTCAATACTTCCTTTACACCTCCAAGCTATTACCATAGTACTCTCATAATTCCATAAACACGAATTTTTACTCTCATAATTCCATAAACACGAATTTTTATTAATGTATTGCCCCTTTTACAAAGAAATATACATATTAGTTTGCAACTTTGAGGCATAATAATACGATCTGAAATCCGATCCGATCCAAACTTTAAAATCCGATCCGATCCGATATATTTCGGATCGGATTCGGATTGCATTTTCTAGAATCCGAAATCCGAAATTCAAGTTCGAAATGTGCTAAATCCGATCCGATCCGATTCGTGCACAGCCCTAGTTCCCATACCGACACCCATACTAGTGTCATATCGACACAGTTGCGGCACCTAAACTGCCATGTCGGAGCAACTTAGAGCCCGATTGGACATAAGAAATTTTTCCCTTTTTCCAATTTTTTTTTAATTTTTTTCGAAATCAGCGTTTGTTTATAAAATTTTCAATTTTCACTTGAAGATGCATTTTGAAAATTTTCGAAAATTTGAAAAACTCCAAAAAACATTTTTTCAAAATTTTCACTCAGATCACTCACGAAACTTCAAAACCAACCCAAAATTATATTTATGTCCAAACACAACTCATGAATTTCAAATACCATTTTCACTTAAAATTTTTTTTCACCCTGTTTTGGAATTTTACAATTCTCATGTCCAAACGCCCACTTAGCATAGGAGGTGAGGTGGCAGAGCTACAAAAGGTTTGTGTGGACATCAAGATTAGATTAGTTTTGGAGTGGGATTATAAAAGAATACTATAAATGAATTTATTTAGGCTCTTGTGGCGGCATAAATTCCTGTTAAAAAGGTTGACCTTTTGATATCCTATCCAACACCCAGGAAATCAGACATGGCATTTGTGCATGATATCAAGTTACACTATGGCAATAGTTATTGAATTAATATGCACCATATAGTAGCTTCTCATGGTCTAGTGCGCTGGATGCAAGTAATTTGTTCTTTGTAGTTCATACATAAGGTCAGAATGTGGTAACAGAGACGATTAATCAAATGGGTTTGTCGTGGATATTGGTCTCTGAGTGAATGCTTGGATATTTGATCTTTGGAAAACATTAAAGAATGTTTGGATACTTGATCTTTGGAAAACATTAAAGTAATGATGGTGCAATGTTGAATCACACTGTTATATCTTGGCTAAGTCATAAATCCTGCGGTCCTTATTTGCTTACTCCAGTTGACAATTCTTAATTCTTTTGTTGAAGGCAGTGTGTTATTTAAATAGTTATGATGCGGATTTCAAGGGTGGTATCTTTCACTTCAAGGATGGAGAACCTGCAGACATTGTGCCTATGGCTGGGGTAAGTGATCTATGGATTTGGTGGTGCATTTGACTACTTAAGTTACGTAAATTATATTTTCCAGAATTTTGTGTGGTTGCTCGCAATGTCAATCCTTTTTTTGTTCCAATCTAATGTAAATCATGAAAGAGGAAGTTTTTTTGCTGTGTCAGTTTCTCATGCAAGTTATCGTTTGCTAGCTGCCTCTAGCGTTTGCTCTTTAGTGAAGATTAATACGTCAAATGTAAATTATATATTATCTGCATTCTGGTCTATTGTGTATATGTCCATTTTAGTTTTTCCCCTTTTTGGCTGCTCTTCCTTACTGATGATAATTCTATTTCATTAGGATGTTATCATGTACACAGCTGATGACCAAAATATACATTCTGTTGATGAGGTATCTTCTCTCTTCTTTTATGAAAAAAGAACCTCTTTGTGTGTCTTTCACTTTACTCCAAACCCTCTTATATTTTGTCAGGGACTTGATTTCAGTTTGTTATCTTGTATGCTCCGTTGCTTAACCCTCCAAATCTAGATGGCCTGCTTAAACCTGTCTTCCACTTTAACTAAATGGTTGCACCTGCCTTATTTTGTTGGGGGTGGATTGTGGTCTTGTTACCTTAAGTTAGCATTGCTTTGTATCAATTTGTTACTGCCCTGCCATTATGGCTGATCACAAACTAAAGAGTCGAATACTCTGCCAGGTATGTGCTGCATCAGTTTAGCAGACTCCTTGATCTCAATGTAGATGACCCACCTAATCTTTTGCCTTGTCTGATCATTTTGAGCTCACAATCATCCCATTTAGGCATTTAGTTATTAATGTTTTTGAAGGAGGAGCTTAAAGTTAGTACGGAAATTTCATTCATTTGGAAGATTAGTCTGTTATATAGTTGCCACAGGCCACAATTTCCTGTGTAGGGAACACAAACTTCAATCTCTAATGTTATAGAAGTCCTGAGCGTTATCTGACTTGTAAGAAGCAAGGGCAGGAAACAAGAAAGGAGATTCAGTGGGCATTTGCACTTCCTTTCACTGTGTCCATTTGTGTGTTATTTTCTCTTCCTGGATAAAGATACATTGTCTTCCTGATTTTGTAAAGATACATGGTACATTTAACTGGCATGCTACACATGCAAGTTAGATCCAGATACAAGCAGTATCTTGTCATATTCTTCTAATGAAAAAGCTTACTGCCTTGGGAAATTTATAGTTTGGCACAGCAAAAGGATATATTCTTATTCTTTAACCACTTCCACATGGATCAATGTATCAACCAACTTCAGAGAGGAGAAGTGACGAGCGCAAAACACAACACAAAATTATTGCTAGCTAGTCAAAGATAATACAGTTAAATTATCGTTGCCACATGGATTGGATTTAAACAATGTTCGAATTAGCTTTAGTTAATTACTATCCAGTAGAATTAACACTTGATTGAATGATTATCAACTACGATTAACTTCTAAAGATTGAGCAATTATCAATTAATCACAAAAGACAAGAGTTCTAAAGATTAAGCAATTATCAATTAATCATAAAAGATAAGAGTTGAGCAACACAGAAATATCAGTGAGAGAAATAAGGGTAATTGACTAGACAGGTGCAAGATAATTGACTCCGGAACCAATTCTTGAATTAGTTCTACTGATGATTCTCACGAATTCAACAGATAATTAGATTACACTTGAAGTTAATGTTCCTCTTTCGATTAAACGTTAATTTCAGTAATTAATCCAATTGAAGCACAATGAACACTTGCAACGAATAGAGTGATTGTTTTAGTCTAAAGGGTAACTTCTCACGAATATTTCCCTATTTTCTAATTCGATTAATAATTCAAGAGGCTCTTCCGATTACCTAGTTGAATCACGAATTTAAACTAGAGCATAAGATGTAAAGAAATTCAATATAAAGTTCCTCTTTCGATTGAGCAAAATAATAAACAATTTCACAATACGATTTAAAATTCCATCAATTAATTCAAACAATTGTCAAGAATCGAATCCCTAATCAAGTTATCAATACACCATATCTATCAACACCCTAAGGGAAATTATTCCATAGCAATGGACAAATTCATCTCAATAAGGTTTAAAAACATTGAAAACATCAATGCTAATGATTCGATACAAACTCCTGTATTGCACCGATTCTTGGTTGTAATCTTGATGAATTCTTTTGTCTCCTTGCCTTAGTTGCTTCTCAAATCTTTCGTAGGTTAAAAGTCCTTTCAAAAATGTATTTTTGGTGTATTTATATTGTGTAGAAGTGGGTCTGGAACCCTTTCTAAGCCGAAACAGGAAAATAGTCAAATATTCTGGGGAAAATACACAGGTGCGCCGCGCCTTGCGTCCCACCATGCGGCGCGCCTTTGGAGATTATCAGAGAGCAAATTCTGACAGAGCAGTCACACTTGCACTGCCGCACCGCGCCTCGCGGCGCCCCATGCTGCGTGGTAGTGCTTTTTTCTCAGAGTAATTTTTTCTTCTACTTTTTAACATCCAGACTTGGTCTTCGACCCCGAACGCGATCCCCGTTTAATTCCTTGGGCTTTACTCAGACTTCAACAACAACAACAACAACAACCCAGGAAAATCCCACAAGTGGGGTCTGGGGAGGGTAGTATGTACGCAGACCTTACCCCTACCCCAAAGGGGTAGAGAGGCTGTTTCCGAAAGACCCTCGGCTCAAGATAATAAGAAAAACAAGAAAAACAAAAGGGGAGAATATTAGTTTCACCATAGAGATCATAGGAAAAATAGGAACCTAAAATGCATAAGAAAAATACAAGGCAGAAATGATGGCTAGTAAATATATCTAGCACCGAAAAGAGGAAATATTAAGACACGACAATGCCCCTAGTAATTTTCGATTAAAACCTTACCAGACTAGGCTCACAATGGAACAAAGTAACGCAAGACTCAACTAACTCCTAGCCTACAACTGTAATACTCGACATCCACAAATTTCTATCAAGTGTTATGTCCTCGGAAATCTGAAGTCTCGCCATATCCTGCCTGATCACTTCTCCCCAATACTTCTTAGGCCGCCCTCTACCTCTTCTC